GTGCTCCGTCCCGGCTTTGTAGGGATGCGAGGTCAATGGTCTAACGACTACGGCATGCACGACTATGAGTACCCCCCCCCCCCCCAATCAGTCGACATCATCATCTCACGGCGCAGAGCAGGATGTGCTCGAACACCACACAAACGATGGAGAGCAAGAGCGATAGAGAGCACAAATGAACACTTTCGGTTGAGCCGACCAAGTAAAGTCAGTAGATGGCCCACGGCAGACATTCCATCTGTCGCCCCGCCCCCCCCCTGTCCGGCCCCCCTTGTCCAACCTAGGGACGCGGAGAAAGACATTGCCCGGAGGGGGGGTGCCTATGTCATGCAGCCTTCGTTATTAGACCATTGACCACGCGTCCTCGAGAGGACGGAGCAGTGTTCCCACAGGACCGATGGATGGCCAATCGTTCCTTCGTGCTTTCCCAAATGTGGTTCGAGAGGGGGGGGGGTTGTCCGGTCTCCTCACCTCGAAGGCTGTGAGACACAGGTAAGCCATGAACCTCAGCGTCGACGGGCCTCTCTCGCCCGCCACCCCTGTCTGCTCCAGGCCACGGCACACCTCGCGCATGAAACCGAGCCTCACTTTGGCGGACGGGTCCATCAGCGTCCACGCCAGCGAGTGCCACCGATGCGGGGTGAGCAGGGTCTGACGGGGTTTGGACAATGGTGCAAGACATGGAGAGGGGAGGGGAGGGGGGGGTGGGAGCGTAGCGTTAACTCGATATCAGTTGCAGAGGGGGTCCCTGTGTAGTACCGGTATGTGCCCAGAACATTCACCGGTACTATACCGGACGGGAGCTTCTCAAAAGTACTGACAATGACATGGAACTTCAGTGTGCGCCCGCCGAACACACCGGCAACATTCCGGGCATTGGCACTTTTCAACCGGCACTCAATAGGGAGCCCCTCTGTGCTCCATTTTGGAGTCAAAGTACCACGCAAGGACAAGAAACTAGCAAGACACCGCCACGGAGCAAGGCCGTCGGAACCAGTGCCATGCCATCATACGCCACCACGACACACAAACCTCTTCTCTCAACATACCTGCACGTTCGCGCTGTTGACACACAGCCGCATGATACGGGTCGATCCCGCGAGCCTCAGCTCCGCCCGTTCCGCCTCCCCCATCTCCCTCTCCCCCTCACTCTCCGGCTGCCCGTCCGCCTTCAGCAGCGCAAACACCGTCCTCAACCACGCTTCTCCCGTGCCTTCCGCACCACCGCTAACGTCCGTGGCCCGACCTGGCGCCATGAGACAGTTGCACGCGAGCTTTATCGAGGCGCAGAGCGTCAGACACGCCGGCGAGACCGCTGTCGCCGCCGCTTCTTTTCCGCCACCGGGGCGCTTCTTTTTCTGGCCACCCTTCTTGGCAACCTCCTCCTCGTCATCTCTCCCTTCCCCGACCCCGATCGTCCCGGACATCCTCGCCATCGCAAACGACAACGCCTTCCCCTCGTACCTCTCGAACTCCCGCGGGAACTCGCGCGCGAACGCCGCCAGCGCCGTAACCTCTGTCGCTCCCACCCCACCACTCCTGCAGTTCTTGCCGTGAGCACCCCCCGCCCCCCCCGCCGCCGCTGCAGCAGCAGCAGCAGCAGCAGCTGTCTCGCGGAGGGCATCGAGGGCGGAGAACCTGGCGGCCTCGCCGGCCTGGGTGTCCGGCCGGGAGGCGAGGGCGGCGAGGGCGCGGACGGCTGCCGCTGCTTCGGAGGGAGCACCTTCCTTCGTGCAAAGCTTCACCAGGCTCTGAGGTCAAGGGAGTACCGGGGTGAATGGGTGTTAATGAGAACCATGACACAACCGAAACGAGTATAGCCGAGCTCTCAGTACCAGGGCTTTGACCGGCAATTAACCGGGCACTAGAGCAACTGCCATGAACATGCAGGTAACGAGACAAACTCGAACATCCCACCCCACCCGGGTGTCACGCGGTATTACCGGCCTCACACTTCGCGACGGGCCTCCTTCATGAGGCCTTGGAAAAGAAAAACAAGGCAACAACCACTGCAAAATTGAAAGTCGTTCGCGGTGATCCTAGGCCAGGTCTTCACGAACCCTGAGCAAGAAATAGAGAAGGAGAAAATAGGAAGGCCGCTTGGTATCCTAAAAGTCGGTAACCCCAAACTTACATCCAAGAATCCGTCCGGCAGCTCGTCGTCGTCATCTTCCTCGCCCCCTCCGTCCTCCTCCTCCTCCCCCCCCTCTCTCCCGCCCTTCTTCTTCCCCCCCATGCCGACGTCTTCTGCCTCGCCCGGAGGGCGGCGGCAGGCGGCGAGGACAGCGAGGACCCTCGTCATCTCCTCCCGGTAACCGTTTTCCTGCCGAGGTACGTACATACATGTAGAGTCCGTTAGTTGCTACGCATCAAAGAGGGTGGAGGGGGCGAACATCAGCTGAGAAAAAACAAGAAAGCTGACCAAAAATTGGGCAACACGGGCCGGAGTTGGAGGGAGGGGGCGCCGAAACCATGGAGTCAAAAGGTTTAGGTCGAGTGTAGGCCCGCTGCTGAGCACGCTATGCACAAGAAAGTGTGGCCACCAAGACACGACATAACTATTTGGCACTGATCGATTGATCAAGAAAGACGCTGGCTGCTTCAGACAAAACAGAGTCATCCGCCACGCGCAGCAGCCAGGGCAATACTTGTACCTAACCCCTGCATGAAAAAAAAAAAATCACAAAAAGCAATATACAAGTGTGCGAGGCGCGCCTGCGGAGTGGGCTACTCAGCATAGTAGTACAAGCAGTGTCGTGAAGGCGTGATGCAACATGAACATGAGAGTAAAGCATCATGTGCTGATGTGGATCAGCTGCCAGCCGCCATCACTGACGTTTCCCAGGCTCGAACACCTGACGTGTTTTTGACTCCAAGAGCCCAGCGAACCTCACCGAACCAAAAGGAAGAATTTGGTACGAATTTGCAACAGCTTTAACTACATCCCAAACAAAACCCTTTGAGATTCTTGAGATACATTTTCAAACCATGATAAGTGATAACCTTCAACAATAAAAGGAACAAAAATGTGGTGTTCCCCTACCTCGGCAACCAGGAACACGGAAGCCAGGTTTCCCTCCTGTCCTCTGGCTTGCTCGGGAAAAACCTTCACCATTGCCTCTAGCAGACCGAGGGGGGGGAGAAAAACACCATCGTCCCTCTCTTCCATGCCTCTGCGGCACGCCAGGCACAGCTCCTGGAAACCCGCCGGGCTCATCGCCAACGCGGAGCACCTGCATGGTGATTTATTTTTTCGAGGGAAGCGTGGGCGGGGGGTAATCAGAAGGGCGGGCGGGTAGTTGTTGGTCTGTGACCACCGAACGCGTCCGCATCTGTTGAACCGTCACGCATGTCTGAGTAGAGACCGGAACGGTCTTCATTGTCAAGATGCCAACAGAGCCACCGCCAATTCCAACAGCAGCAACAGCAGCAACAGCAGCAACAGCAACAACACCAACAGCAGCAGCAGCAGCAACAACACCAACAGCAACAACGATAAACAACAGCAGCAACACCAACAGCAACAACGATGAACAACAACAGCAGCAGCAGCAACAACAACAGCAACAACGATAAGCAACAGCAGCAACAACGATAAGCAACAGCAGCAACACCAACAGTAGCAGCAGCACCAACAACAACAACGATCAACAACAACAACAACAACAACAACAACCCACCGCGTGGAAAGCGTCTTGAGGTACATCCCCAGGCCAGTCTGGCTGCCGACCTTCTTGATGAGATCGACGCGCGCCGCGGCGGTCACGCTGTGGGGCGCGTCGGGAGAGCACACCGTCCTCAAAAGACGGAAAATCTGTAGCGGAGGAGTCGGAGGAGGTTTGATGGGGCGGGGTGGGGTGCCGTGCGGTGAGGGCGGCGTTCTGGTCGGNGGGGGGGGGGGGGGGGGGGGGGGGGGGGGGGGGGGGGGGGCGTCGGCGGACGAGATCAGGGTGGCGATCAAGACACACAGACAGCGTCAGGCGCCGTCCTATCAGACAGGAGGGAGTTCAATGCCAATACTGACGCTTTTCGCACAAGGAAGACGACGGGTGTCGTTCGGCGCATCCGGGCCGACTCCAGTGCTTGGATCATCAGCAAGCAGGAAGCCCGCAATTCGTATTGTAGTCTGCTGCGCATATTGTTCGTTCACAACGAGTAAGGGTCTGTGGGACCTCTCTCTCGGTCTCTGTCTGTCTGTCTTTCTCTCTCTGAATCTCCTGTGTCTTTCTCTCTGAAACCTCTTAGTGTTTCTCTCTGAAATCCTCTCTCTGTGGATCGATGGCAGTGTGTACCCGCCGGCCGTCGGCAATAATTCTTGCACAAAGAAATATATATATTTAATCCATGGCGTGCTTGACTCTCGTACAAGAGGGCTTCTTCACAGCAGACAGCAGTAGTTCCGCTCTAAACGAATGCTTCATTGCAGCAGGCACGCTCTTCCTACGGTCGCTTGGCAGCTGAGTCCACGTGCCCATCAGGAGCGTGAACCAGTCCGGATACATGACACCTTCTTTTGGCGCTCTCAAGAGTCAGGGTTTTGGTCTGGGGTCGAGAAGCGGTACACAGGTCTACACCGCACCTTCCTGTCCGCCAAAACTACAGTCAAGAGTTTCGCCCGCGGTCAAGAAAAGGAACAGGTCTCAACCGTACTTTCTTGTCCTGTTACATTGAGGTCAGCCAGGGCTAGCCACGTCTGACGTCGAGAAAAGGTACACAGATCTACTACCGCACCCACCTTCTTGTCCTGCTTGTGAGCCAGGTCCCTCAGCAGGGTGAGCTGCTTTCCAGAGGGCGAGGTCGACGGGTGCAGCCTCGCCACCGCGGCCATCGCCGCGTCCAGCTCGGCCTCCAACGCCTGCACCTTAGTTCGGCAACCAGCAGCCGTCGGCGTGCAAGGGACTTGTTGCGAAGGAGACGACACGAGCGCCACTCTAACTAACGAATCAGCTTCTTCGTTACATCAACTTTGTTGGGGGTCAAGGGCCAGCACCGTTGTGAGAAATACGAGGCGTTGCGGCGTAGAGAGACAAGACCTGCCATGAAAGCGGTGACACGAGACTGCTGTTGAGCGTCAAAGGCCGTAGGAGAATCGTAGAGGACAGCTGCAAAAGAGTCCCGCAGGAACAAGCCATAAATGTCGAGAAACAACATCGTTTCTTTGTGTGCGCCCACGGACTCTCCATCAACACGGTACGTACGGCGCATGGCTGTTCCTGAGGAAACCATGTCACATCCTTGGACCCCCCCCCCCGCCCCCCCCAGATTACCATTTTGTGCAAGGTCGGGTACGAGAGTCATCACCTTGTCTTCGGAGGTCGCCCTGGTGGCCTTGAAGGCATCGCGGGCGTCGAGGTATCGCAGTACGGCCCCGCGCACATTCCTCTTGTCCTGACGAGAGGAGGCGCCGGGCGAGCACCCCAAGAACGAGGGCGAAAAAAAAAAAGGCTCGAGAAATGTACCTGCCGGCATGACGGCTGTCGTCAAAGAGAACCAACACCTGCCGTAGCAAAGAACTAGCGTGGTGTAACCTAATTCTCTGTCTGTCTGTCTGTCTGTCTGTTTGTCTGTCTGTCTGTTTGTCTGTCTCTGTCTCTGTCTCTGTCTTCTCCCTCTCTCTCCCTCTCTCTAAGCCCTCTCCTTCCTCTCTCCGACCATCGATAGTATCTCCCTTTCCTATCGCCCACCTGCAGTATCCACGTCACGCCATTCTTGGCCTGCTGGTCCATCCCGTGCAGGAGGTGGGCAAGTACAGCAGCACGAGCCTCGTCGCGTAGATCTGAAAAAGTTACAATAAAACGATGACGTCAACACACCAACAAAAGGGAGGGAAGCGTGTTGGTAGGAACGGGGGGGGGGGTGCCGTGATATGCTGTATGCGTACATACCCGGATATGCTCTGTCGGGGACACACCTCTCGTCGGGCTCTTTTCGGGTGTAAGGACCGCCCGCACGTGCTTTGAAGTCAAGGGCTCTTCGTGGGAACACAGTACACGGGACAGAACAATACAGTGCACGGGACAGAATAATACAGTACACGGGATAGATGTTGAGGGCTCCGTGTGCAGCATTCGCATCAAGAGTTTGGACTATCGGCAGCCACCATGAAAAAAGCCACCTGCCGACAAAACAACACCACCACCGACACCGACATTCATCGACGGCTCACCGCTAGGAACGATGTTCTCATCGAGGATGTGCACCATCTTGCTCTTGGTGTCCACTTCTCCGTGCACGGCCGTCGCCTTCACAACGGATGCCGGCACCCATCCCAGCTTGGACATCAGTTCTGCGGGAGGGCGCTTGAGCGAAATCTGGGAGGCCCCGCAAAGAGGGGAAGAGGAAGGGGGGGGTTCATAGTCAGGATACAAGAGAGAGGGGGACGCAAGGGGAGAGGGCCCGCGGGTTATGCTTGGCTGCAATCTGTGCGATGGTTTGGTAGACCACCGAGCGAACATTTCACCTGTTAGATCGACGCCCGAACCTCGCCCCTTCCGAACATTGGCGCGCCATCAACCTATTCAAAATGACTTTTGATGCATTTGAGACATCAAAACAATTGACTTCAAACGTGTGGCACGTGATACGTGGCGAGAGTTCCACAGCGCCTCAACATTCCGCCGCGATCTTTCGTTTCTCTAATACTACCGCTGTTCTAGGCCTTCCCTTCCCACCCGTACATTCTCGCGCCCGTTCCCAAACTTGTATTCATTCTCAGTCCCCCCCCCCTCGCTCCAAATGTAGTTTTTTCACCCCCCCCCCCCCCCCCCCCCCCCCC